GAGACCTATGAGGTAGGTGACTGTGCTCAGTGCTTTAATTACATTATCATATATCACAAGAAGAAACAGCCAGCTATTGTGAAGCATTTTCTTTATGTGTAGGTATGTGTTTGTGTGTGTGCATGTTTATTTTTCTGAATCACCTTAACCAGACAGATTAAAAAGGAGGTTAAAGGGCTGTATCCAAACTGTTAGGTATTTTTTTTTTTTTTTGGAGAGAGTTTCGCTATAGGGTGGGTGTGCTCGCCAGACTGAGAGAGACATAAAGACAGAAAGTGAGAAATTACCCCCAGGGGGGATGGTCATGCCACAATCCCTTCTCCTCCATTCTCCTCTCGGGATCTTGGGCACGCACGCACACACGCCCGGCGTGAATTTTAAGCCGCTAGGTCTGGGACGCAAACCGCGGTCAACTACGTGGGAGTCCAGCGACATAGCCATTACGTTAACTGCTGGTTCCCCAAAACTGTTAGTTTTTATGGTTCCTTGGAGACTCCCATCTATCAGTTGTGCTGCTCCATTTAAGGTGCCCTTTTGAAGAGTTAACAGTGGTCAAAACTGTTGCTGATTCACTATCCTACTGAAGCAGGAGGTATATGGTGATGAGGTAAGGCATAGCAGCTCAGGTGATCGAATCAAACCTAGGGTCTGAATCCTACTGTTACTTGCTAACTGCATGCCATTAGGCAAATCCTTTAATCTCCTTAACCTCCTGTATTAGTCTATTTGGGGTTGCCAACAGAAATACCTGGGCCTGAATGGTTTTATAATGAGGTTAATTTATAAAACTCATGATTCTGATGGCCAGGAAGTCCAAAGTCCTAGGCTAGGCTACAGCATTGCTAATGGAAGCACAAAGGATGGTAGACACCTGCGAAGAGAGGGCAGCAGACTGCCTTTTCTGGAGCAACCAGTCCTCACAAGAACTACTCTCCTTTCCTGAGACCTAAAACTCACCTGGTCTCTCCAGACGTCATTTATCTTTCACAAGTGTTGCCTCCATGATGCAATCATCATAAGCCATTCACTGCCCATTGGCTCTCACTCGGGACACCAGGAAGAAATGAAATTTTACACTGTAGCAAATACAGTCAAGTCCCAACACATGAATTTCTGGGGGACATATTAAAGCATAGCACCTGCATTTCTTCATCCGTAAATGGGGTTAATAATAGAATTCACTTCCAACAATTGCTAGAGATGAAAGGAGATAGTGTGAGTTAATCATGTAGATGAAGCCCTGCGTAAGTGTAGTCATTACCATTACCATGACTTCTGTTTTCCAGATCACAAAGGCTCTCCTGTTTTGCAGCAAGCAGAGGTAGAGCTCATTGATCAAACCCTGTGTGTTTCTACCTATGGGATCATCACTTCACGGATGCTCTGTGCAGGCATGATGTCAGGCAAGAGAGATGCCTGCAAAGTAAGTGAGCTTGGCTTTCCCTTCCCTTCCCTGTGCTTTCCGTAAATGCCTTTGCATTTAATCTGTACAACCGGGAAAATTGCAGGTATTCCTCTCAATTCATCTGAGTTGCCCAGATATTGATTATAATCCCATTGTCTAAAATGAGGGAAAGGTGACTAAAGATCTGAATTCTACAGAACTCAGGTTTCTAATCCCCGTCTATTTTCCTCCAACATTAAGAAAATGAGATCATCGTTCGGCCATGATTTTCTTAAAACTAAAAAGCAAAGAGAGACAAAGATGCACACATGCATGCTATGTTTCAGGGTTTATTTCCTTAGCAACAGCCTTTTTATTTCAGGGTTTTATTTACTCACTCCATTGAAGCATAGGCTGAAGCAAAAAGAATATTGGGAGAGGTGCCAGATAATACCCTTATGTTGTTCAATGGATAGGCACAAGGACAGTGGAAAGTTGGGGGTTGCCTTTAGGGGGACATTTCTCTGAGCCTGAGATTCCACTATGTAGATCTCTGCCTGACGGCCTAAGAGTACACTGCAGATTTTGAAGGTAAGGAGAGTGGGGGTGTTCCCACATCTTTCTAGTCTCACCCATGAAGCCACAGACACTATTACTATAACAAGGACTTCTTGCTTTCAAGTTCCTATTCTGTGGCAAGCACTGTGATAAACTTTTCCATTAATTCACTCAGATCATTCTTATATCCCCACTTTGCAGTAGAGAAAGTGGGCATATGTATCATCACCCAAGGTCATAACAGCTAGTAAGTGTAAATGTCTGAACCGGGATTTGAACCCTTGACTCTTTAATGCTGTAACAACTATGTTTTGGTTGCTTCTTGCAGCTGGTCAGTTACATAGCCCTATAACCACACAGTCACCAGAGTTTACATATTAAATTAGACTTTTAGAGTTGGCATGACAACAATGAAAATAAAGAGCCCAATTTCCTTACTAGTCAGAATTTGCCTAATCAGATATAAGACTGTGGGGGTAGAATACCAGGGCAAATTTGAACTGCTTTCTTATCTTTTGTTCTAATAAGTTACAAAGTTACTGATTCTCCAATACAGAAAACTAAAACCCAGACATTTTAATTAAAGGATAATAATGGGACAAATAAACTTAAACTCTGAATTATTTGAGCCTTTGCTTTGTGGAACTGAGAAGCTGGAAGGGACTCTCAAATGAGGGTAATTTGTCTGAACAACTGTTGACCAGTGGTCATGAAGGTCATTAGACTTGGCTTTAATTAAACAGCTCTCTTTTGCTTTTCTCCCTGGGACAATGAGCCAACTACTGAAGCTGCATGGCTGTGGGATAGGAGTCAGCCTTCTGAGATGACTAAGCCTCAAAAGATTATTATGAGAATTAAATGACCCAAAGCAGTACTTAGCACATAACACGAAGCATATAAATGTTAGCCCTTGTCACTACTACTGCTACTTTGGGTGTATGTAAGAGTTGTTTTCACCTATAAGAATCTTCAAATGTTATTCTTAGCCTAAAGAGTTATTTTTTTGGAATGAATACAGCTTTCTGATTACTAGAGGAATAATGTAAAAATGGCATTAGAAATTTCATATTATTTTTTGATACTTCCCAAACTCTAGAGTTAGCCAAACAAAAGCATGTCAGAATGGGACTTTTGAATACAATCAATAGAGACAATAATTATGAAATTGATGGTCATGGGACAAGTGTACTTCCTATTTATATTATCTTTTTATGTAGGGAGATTCTGGTGGACCTTTATCTTGTCGAAGAAAAAGTGATGGAAAATGGATTTTGACTGGCATTGTTAGCTGGGGACATGGATGTGGAAGACCAAACTTTCCTGGGGTCTACACAAGGGTGTCAAATTTTGTACCCTGGATTCATAAATATGTCCCTTCTCTTTTGTAATCATACCAGTTGGATTTTGGTGACAGATTCTTTAAAAAGAATACAATAATTATGAATAAAAATGAATCAATTATTTTTTTTCAACAGGAAATGTCTGATTGCCTATATTTGATATTTATTGAAGGCAGAATAATATGTATGCCATAAGAAACTGACCCAAGAATTCAGTTATATTTATTTCTAGGTATCAAAAGGCTATTGATTCGGGGGGGAAGAAACACAAAGTAATGTGATAACCTAAGCCTTTCATTTAAAACAAGAAATGAGGGAGATATTCAGGTGTCCTTACTTTATTTTATATTACTAATCAAGATACAGATGTTTATAGGATTTAGGCAAATTCAACCTACAGAAATAAAAAATTCCAGTTAAAACTATGCATAACCTTTAATATTCCCATAAACTTAAATACAAAAAAAAATTCTCTCCTTTACAAATGCAAATAAAGCCAAATTCAGTTATTGATAGGGGAAGTACCTATATTATTATTTTCCAACTCAGTTTTGTCTACCCATATCATAATGGACCTTTCAAACATAGCACATGATAATGTTGTATACAGAGAAGCCAATCAACCAGCAAATGAAACTAAAAGCTAGTGACCTTTACTAAAATGATAGAACTAGGCATGGTGGTAGTTGGATTAGAAGCACATGTATGGGAGTCAAAGAAACTGTGGCCATGTTGTTTAGTAGTGAAAAGGCAAAGGGATTTTTTGGATGATTTCTGTGAAAGTGAAAGGTGTTCAGACATATTATCATCTGGCTTCTGGTTCTTTTATACAACCCAGTGGCCGAGACTTCCTTTCACTTTCAGGACCTTAGTAGTAAACCTAAAGTAATCTCTCAGAGCACCTTAGTTCTTAGATTTGTTTGTCTTGCTCTCAAAATAACCTTTACATTAATGGAGACCAGTGTTAACAATATCACTGAACAGATGAAAACAGCAGAAAAAATAAGGATATTATTAGTCATTTTTCTGAGACAAAGTAAAAAGAGTAATAACAATGCCACTATTAAATAAGGCCTAGAATAATGTGTAAAACCTCAGAAAAACAATGCAAAAACAAAAGGAGATACAGCAAAAATTGTCATAAGACCAGATTAAAAAATATGATTTTTTCCTAGGATAATGAATATTTTCCAGTTTATAGGACATATTTGGATTTGCTAATTTCCCTCTGATTAAGAATAAAACATCTCAATGATTCTTCTCTGAGTAGGTCCCCAAAGTTTCAATGAACTGGCTACGAAATAGTGCAATTCAAAGGGTCAAGTGCACCACTTAGTTCACAAAGGGGGCCCTAGTTACTGAACTCACATAGAGGAGCCAATTTGCCGGTACTTATAACTTGGGTTTATTTTGCCTACTACAGCAGTCACCTGTGAACAAGATGAATGTACTTTTTACTTTATGGTCGTTTCTAAGGCATACGATGGCTTTTAACAAAACACATTCCATGAGTTTGTGATCTCAGGATATGGGAGAAGGCAGGATCTGACAGATTCATCAGAGGAAGTTTTTCAAACCATACCTTGCACGACTGCTATAGGCATCCACTGGCGTTAATGGGAGCGTCCTCTCCCTCGGCAGTACTGGGGTGGGAAAGGTTGAGAATACCAAGATAGTTTGCTTGGATACATCATGCCAAAATGCCTTTAGAACAGGGATGATGTGGAAATACACACTTTATTCTTGTAAAGTGCGAAGAGACAAATCTCAAGACTAGTGCTTTTAGCAGAATGCATTGGCCTCTGTAAGCCAAGAGAGGAGCATTTCATGTGCCACATTATTGGAGAGAACCTGTAGAGACTCATGCCTGCCTTCAAAGCACTTTGAAAACCGAAAGAAGAAACATCACGAGTCAGCCAGAGACTTCTCAATTATTTTCTGCTCCTCTAGCTTGAGTGACTGACCCAGCTGCTGATGTCCTCAGCACTCCTTGCCATCTGGAAACATACACAAACTGTTGTGTTTTCAAGAGGCACAGAACTCTTTGAAGACAATGAGAGGCTTTGGTGCATTGATGATGTCACGTTGATGGTGTTACTTTACTTTGTGGTTTATATGATCACCATGTGGGAAATTATTTCCTCCTAAAGAAGATAAAGAAAGAAGAGCAAATACTACAAGAAAAGCAAAATTGAAAATATTACATTGGTCAGCAAATCTGGACAAGTATGCTTCAATTTTTTAATGTTATTAAAGTTTGACTCTTCAAGCAACCTCCATAAATTGAATCAATAATAATTTTAAATGTTATTAGAGAACTATTTGTGAAGTTACACTTTTTAAAGTGTAACAGTACACTTTAAAAAGCTACAGAAACAAATTCTGATGAAATTGTAAAAACAAATTCAGGTAGAGTGTAGTTCTTTATTCACAAATGTTTAACTTTCATCAAGAATTGCCAGCAGGTGGTATAGTGGTTAAGGTGCTGGACTCCCATATAACCCACCGAGTCCTGGACTCAGCAGCTTGAAACTCACACTGGGAGCAGATGGCATAATGGTTACGTCGCTGGACTCCCACGTAGTTGACTGTGGTTCAAGTCCTGGACCTGCTGGCTTAAAACTCATGCGAGGCGCATGTGCATGTGTGCCCAAAATCCTGAGAGGAGAGTGGAGAAGAAAGGATTGCACCATGGCCATACCCTCAGGCAAGCACTAGCACCCTATAGCAAAAATATTTAAAGAAAGGGAACCAGCAGTTAGCGTAATGGCTATGTCGCTGGACTCCCATGTAGTTGACTGTGGTTCGCATCCCAGACCCAGTGGCTTAAACTCACGCTGGGTGCATGTGCATGTGTGCCCAGGATCCCGGGAGGAGAAAGGAGGAGAAGGGATTGTGGCGTGGCCAGACCCCCTGGGGGGGGGGGGTTTTCTACTTTTTTGTTTCTCTGATTTCTCGCTTTCTGTCTCTCTGTCTCTCTCTCTGTCTGTATGGCGAGCGCACGCGCCCTGTAACAAAAATCTCTCAAAAAAAAAATCTTTAAAGAAATAAAGAAGAAACTCACACTGGGCACATATACATGCATGCCCAAAATCCTGGGAGGAGAATGGAGGAGAAGGGATTTCGGTGTGGCTATCCCCCTGGGGGGGGGATCTCTCACTTTCTATCTCTCTGTTTCTCTCCGTCTCTCTGGTAAGTGTATGTACCCTATAGCAAAAATCTCTCCAAAAAAAAAAGTTTAATCTATGCCTGGTTGTACTCCAGAGGGAAACATTTCTTTTTAATTCATTCTAAATTTCTAATTTAGAGTCAAACTGACAGGTGAAAAAAGTTCTCAGGTAGGAGTTGGGACACACATCTGTATTCTGGGTCAGATGAGATTAAGAAATTTACAATGACCAGAAACAACAGGTTGCAAATTAGAATTTGAATAGTTCAGGTAATACTGGGGAGCATCAGCAAGTGTTAGGGATCAGAAAATAAGACAGGAAGAAAAATCAACAACAGAAGAAAACACTGATGCAAGTGTTAGTACTGGGCGCTTTAGTTGGGATGGGTGGGCATTACAGAGATGCTTACATCCATGGAAAGGAACATTTGTTGAGGGGCATAGGATTCAACACTTATTTTAATTACTTCATTTAGTCCTCCTAACTACTGGTAGGAATCATTTTTTATTCATTTATTTGTTCAATGAGAGAAAGACAGAGATAGACAGAAACCCCAACATGGTCTTCATGCCCTGATCCATGCTCAGTTTCCAACTGTGGCCATAACATAGGGTTTTCATACAAGAAAAAGAAAGTGAGTGGAGTCTGAAAAAAGAAAATCAAAACCGAGGACAACAACTTCTTCAGGCCAGCAGGGTGGTGCAGAGGTAACGCGGTGCTCCACGATGCTGAACCCACATGGAAAGCTTTTGTCCTCAGGGCCCTCTGAACATTTCAGGCATATTCACGCACTCATGATCCAGGCTGGCCAAGGTGAAGGTAATTGGGGTGTGAGAATCTTGTTAGGAAGGTCTCTCTCTCTCTCTCTGCCTCTGTCTCTCTCAAAAAATGAATAAGCTTAAAAAAAATGAAAGAAGTCGCTTCAAAAATTCCAGCTGAAGGCCTGGCTGCACAGGCTTTCAGCTGAAGGCACAGGGAAGGGAGGGCTGCTACATGATCCTGGAGGCCATATGGGAAGGCTCTGGATTCACCTCACTGGGTCTATCTGGGCATGCTGGGCTTATCTGGGATCCTGGCTGGCTACAGGTCTTGGGGGAGGATCACAGTGTCAGAACCCTGTTGAGGGTGCTTGTTCTTTTCTCTTCCTCTCATGAAGGAAACAAGTAAATGAAAGAAAGAGAGAGAAGGAAAGAAGGAAGGAAGGAAGGAAGGAAGGAAGGAAGGAAGGAAAGGAGGAAGGGAGGAAGGAAGGGAGGAAGGGAGGAAGGGAGGAAGGAAGGAAGGGAGGGAGGGAGGGACAGGAGGAAGGGAGGGAGGAAGGAAGGGAGGATGGAAGGAAAAAAAGAAATCTCAACTGAAAATGCAGCTTGATTCCTGCAGAATCTACCCATCAGAGCAGACAGCAGGCAGTGCAGGGCTGGCAGCTGAGTCACTGCAGTGAACATGGCCCCATCAGCAGGTGGATAGAGTCCATCCTCAAGACCTGGGAGCTGACATCAAGTAAGACAGGATATCTAGGCTGTGTCTGAACTCAGGCATTGAGACTGTCAGACTTGTGGTCACGCCTTAGCATCTTCTGAAATGGAGCTTATCTGTATGCTTCCTGTTGATGTCTGTTCTTAATTAGTGTGTGTGTGTGTGTGTGTGTGTGTGGTGTGTGTGTGTGTGTGTTAGGGAACAAGGCTACTTTCAACAGAAGCTGAAGAGATGACTTTGGACCAACAAACACAGCTCTTAGCAGGTTCACTAAGCTGGAAGTTCTGAACTATGGAAAGAATGTTGAGGAGAGAGAGAACATTGGGTGTGTGTGTGTGCACACACGTGCGTGTGTGTGTGTGCATGCATATGTGCTTTTTCCTCAGGGATTGGGGGATTTTCTATGACCCACTCTGCTCAAAGATGAATAATAACCACCAATATTTAGGCGTGCTTGCTATGTGTCCGTCACTATTCTGAGAGCTTTCCTTGAATCAATCGGTTTAACCCTGGAAACACCTCCATCAGACAGGTACTAAGTCTATGCTAGCTTTCCAGATAAGGACACTCTGGCATAGAGACCAAGCTGGCAGTTGCACAGCGGGGGACCCTGTGAGTGGCAGGAATTCCAGCGACGTGGTTGAGACCTGCTATGCCCACCACCACTGCACCTGAAACTGCACGTGTGGGACGAAGGGCGTTTGTGCTTATCACTCACGTTCATTTGCTCAGAACCCAGCCCACCGCCTACCGCACAATCGGTGCTCAGTTACTTGTCAGTTCAGCGAATAAACTTGGGGTTAGGCAGAGGATGGGGCGAGCCCCAGCCACGGGCAGATCCTAGGGGCAGAATGCAAACTTTCTTCCCTGGACAGTGAGGCCAGGCAGAGGCTTTCCTTCCCAGCGCTGCACCCAAGCAGGCCCTAAGCTGAGCTGCTTTCCGTCTGTCTTCACCAGCAGGGAAAGGCTTAGCAGGCAGCGCCCTGAACAAACCTGAAAAACAGCCCTCCTCTGCATGGAAGCACGGGGCACGGCCACAGCGTCCCGCCTTGCAGAAGCTGCGGAGCCTCCCTCGGCCCCGTCCCCGGTGTCGCCATTCGCCCGCCTCATCTTTCCCTCCTTCCTCCCGCCGCCCGAGGTCTGCAGGGCCCGCCCCGCCTGGTGGGTGGGGTAGGCCGCAGGAGGCAAGCCTGGACTCTGCACCCACAGGTGTGTCTGGCCTGAGTCCCGGCCCAGGCCCTCGGCCCTCTTCCGCCGGCCCATGGAAGGGGCCCCGCTGGCATCGCCTGGAGAAGAACTAGAGCTCTCGCCGCTGCAGGGGCCGCCGGACGAGCAGGTGCCTCTCAATGGGGCGGTGCAGGTCATCACGTCTTCTGCCGAGGAGCCCGTCTCCGCCCAGGTAAGGTCCGTTGGTGCCAGTTCATTAAGGAGCCGGTGGCGAGAGCGCAGGACCAGGGCCTGGAACTCGGGAGCTTCGGGTTTCTAGCGGCTCCCGGGGGTCACAGACGCGGGGACGAGGAAGTGCGCGCGCTCTAATACTCCCAGCCAGGACGGCCACCCCGCACCCCACCCCTGCACCTCCAGGGCTCTTTAGGAATACTAGCGGCTCAGCCCTTCTCTCTTTGGAGAGACATTCCTCAGAGGCAGAGGTGGATTTTTAAAAGTTATGCGACTTTTATTTTTTTTTTTCCTTTTTTCAAGCAGGGAGAACAGGATGACATTAAGTCCTTCCCTTTTCTTCAGACTCCCTTCTGCCTCCCTCGTCTCTTCACGGCCTTGTCACCTCCACCTCTCCCTTCCCTCCCTCTAGGCGCCCCTGCCCTACTGGACTCCACACCCAGGCTCCCCATCCCCCAGAGAGCACTTCCTGTCATCTTCCAGGCTGGCCACTGGGTTCTGCAGGAAGGGAGACTGGGAGGAGGAGAAAACAACAAGAACCAGAGGGCCAGGGGTGAACTTCCCCTGCTGAGTTGAGAGTTGAGGGTAAATAACCTCTCCCAAAGAACTAGGCCACTGCCCCCTTGCGTTTACCCCCTCTCGGTCTGTACAGAAGCCCCTGGTAATACATAGGCTGAGCTCTTCTGCTTCAACCCTAGCAGTGCCGGGAACATCAGTCACTCTCATCCAACGCTTGTAAAACATCAGAGACTTTGAATTCCACCTTTGGGTTAAGCCCTAAGACTGAGTTGAGATTTACCACGTACACAGAGCTCCCAATCCATGTATGGGTCCACCCTGATCTAACTGCGTTCCATTCCTCTACCCCACTCCTTTGGCTGCTCAGTTGTCGATTTTAGGGGTAAGTAGGAGATTCGAAAGTTGAAAACACTGCCTTTGTCTTGCTTCGATTCTGGTGAATAGCATAAAGTCTGCTTCGACGTACTCTGGACAGTAAATTAGTATCTTATTTTGGAAGGAAATGTGAACGGTGCAGAAGAATGAAGGTTGGACACACATGATCAGATTGTCAGTGTGAGTGGCCACAAGCCTGACCTTGTGTGGCTGCTGGAGGACAGTGTCTGGGGACAGGCATCAGGAATACTCGCCTCCCGTTAGATAGAACCGAGCACCGTCAAGACTCCGTGGTTTGGGACTGAATCCAGAGATCGGAGTCTGGCAACAGCTGTACCACTAAAATGTGTGTCCCATGGGCAAGTCTGTCGAGTGGTAGTCATGTGATGTGGCCCGCCCAGCTTTCCTTGTTGAAAATATTGGGAGGAATAAATTGTGCTAAGTCTATTGGTAGTTTATAATCATTTAGCACCTACTTCGTTGAGCTTGCTCTTTCAGTTCTAATGACATAACTTTAGTCTGATAGAGATACCCTAAATTTCCTTGCAAGTTAACTTTGTAGCTCACCCAGTAGGAAAGCTGTAGTGAATGACAGACTAGATTGAAGGAGGGCATTCTAGAAATGCTTGAACAGGGGAAATTTTTTCAAGAGAGAAAAAAGAAAGAATCCCTCATCTTGTGTGTTAACTATTATCCAGTTCTATAGAAGAAGTTGAAGTTTTTTTTTTCATTTGAAATGGTAACGAACATAGGATCATCAAAGGGCTGGCTAGCATGAGCATGAGTTTCAGACACTTGAGAATTCTGTGTGCGCTCCAAGAGTGGATTGAGCCAATTCTGAAGTGTAGCTGGAACCCATAGATTTCATTAACAATGTGTTTTATATATCACGTGCCAAATGCCTGTGATACTTAAATGCACTTCATTATCTGTGAAATTAGGAGGGGATATTACTATTCTGATTTGAATTGATTGAGGAAATAGGCTCTGAGGAGCGGCCAGTAGTCAAGTTCGTTCAGTGAGGCCTCCAAAGTTTGAGCTCAGGCTTTTCAGACCTCAAGCCTATGCCATTTCTGCTTATTTCTTTTATCTCTCTAGTAATATATCATTTGAACATATACACATTATCTATAACTTAGACTGATTTACTTAGAGTTACCTTAATTATGAATTGCATATCAGTAATACCTCTAAGGTAGGTAATGTGTAACTAGTAGTTGAAGTGAAATGTGAGGGATGGAGTAGCACATCTGAAGGGATGAGGGAGCTGCAGGTGGATGGTTGGATGGGGAAGGGCTGGGGGACAGTCTGGGACCACTGGGAACAGGACACTCCACCTTGTGGATATCTTACTGACTGGAAGAGCTGGCCTGGGAGAGTACACAAAGCCAGTAGAAAGAACGTCTTCCCTTTCCTAAAACATTTTTGGGGCTTGGTAAGAAAGGACTATATGTCACCAAACTCTGCTTTGCCTGCTGTCACTGAAAATATGGCGATATCACTGGGTCAGAAGTGAAAGAAATGATGAATCATAGAGTGAGATTGGTTTTCTTTTAAGGTTCATTATGTCAGCTCCGACTTCGTTTTCAGATGAAAGACTCAGAGATATTTTAAATGCTGGAAACAGCAAGCTGGTAGTTTAGAGGCAAATGGGGTTGCTTTGAACGAGCTAGCTAAACATTAGCCCCATTGCCTCATACCGTTCCATGTAGGACAAGAATCAACTGGTTCATTTGTTCTTGGACCAAACAACAGGTTGATGAAACCCCACAATGAAGATTACAACACACAGATTTTCCCATATTGCTAGGAATATTTTCCCATGATCTACGTAATATCCATTCCTGGCGAGCAAAAAATAAAAGCTTTTTGGAGCCAGGAGATAGGACATCCTGGCATTGTTGCAGAATCCTGCATCATGAATTGAGACTTTTACTTGAGGAGGGATGTGAATATTTAGAGAAAAGTTTAGAGAAAAGACATAAAAATTCTTGAGCCATTTAATTCCATCATAGAATGTAAGATGCACTTTGTAAATATCTCTGGAAGGCATCTCGCACCTCCCTGTGGCTTTTCTTTACAGCCTAGAATTTGGACAAGAGAGAATACCAGTGAAGGAGGCACTGTGTCTTCATCATACAGTTATTTTTAAGAGGTTTTTGCTATAGGGCGGGTGCGCTCACCAGACAGACAGAGAGATAGAAAGAGAGAAATCACTCCCCGGGGGGATGGTCACACCGCAATACGTTCTCCTCCATACTCCCTTCTCCTCTATTCTCCTCTAGGGATCTTGGGCACGCATGCACACGCACCCGACGTGAGTTTAAGCCACCGGGTCCGGGACTCGAACCACCGTCAACTATATGGGAGTCCAGGGACATAGCCATTACGCTAACTGCTGGTTCCCCTTCATCATACAGTTTTGAGGGGAGTCTCAGCCCAAGTATCACACACGTACTCCAGGATACATTGGCATTTCTTGTGGGCACTTCTATAAAAATGCAAAGAGTTGAGAAACACTGTGCCCTACATTGTTTGATTAGGAGTTGCTGACAGACTTTTTCTTTCTTTCTTTCTACTTTTTATATTTGCTTTAGTATGTGTGTGTGCTCACGAGAGAGAGAGAGAGAGAGAGAGAGAGAGAGAGAGAGAGAAAGGTAGAGACAGAGGGAAAATGAGAAAGCACCCTCCCCTCCCCACCCTCACAGAGGGATGGCCACCTTGCAATCAGTTCTCCTCCATTCTTCTCTTGAGATCTTAGGCATATAAGCACACACACAGCAGTGTGTTGTCCAAGCCACTGGGTCTAGGATTCAAACCGAATAGTTGGCCATGTGTGATCCAGCCGCCTTAACCACCAACCCCCAGCTGGCCCCACACTGTTTTGAAATGACTTGTAGGCTGTGAAGATTAATCCTTCAAAGGACGGTGGTCAGTGGTCCTGCTCTTAGGGCCAAGGACAGAATGTGAGGGGCTTAGGCTTTGGCTTTGGGCTGGACAGGGAGAGGCGTTTACTGCAGATGAGAGCTGAATAATTGTGAGCTGAGTCCTAATTTATGTTCTCTAAGGAACAGCATCAAGAAGGCACAAGAAGCCAAAGAGGTGCATTCTGGCTCATTGGAAGCTCCAGGTCATTCCCATTTGTGCACGCTGTATGATCCCAGTCAGCTCTTGTATAGGGACTGAAAGTATCGAGGGGGCATTTTGGCCCCAACAGCTCTTTAAATGGGAAAATAGGTCTTGCCCCTTGAGAAGTTAAGGGTTCCTTGTAATGAGATTTCTTTTTCCCATGTGCCTCCTAGAGCCTTTGGGTCTGGTGGCTTTAAAGTGGTTCGGCAGTCTTTGGAGGTGAAAGATGACCCTATCCCTTTATTCTAGAAACACACTTCACTCAAAAGTGTCAACAGAAATAACTAAGCTCTGTCAAAATAATAAATCATTAATAAATGAGTAAATAAATTAATATGACTTCTTTCAAGCACTGATGTGAGTGGCCAGATCTGGAAGCACAAATAGTGTTTCTGGGGTGCTTGGATGTGGGGTTTTTCATTCAGTTCCGACAGCGGGAGTTACAGACAAATCGTGAGTCAGTGTAAGGCGTCTTTTCATTGGCCTGGTCCAAAAAGGCAGGGCATCTGGGAGCAGGGGCTTGTAGATTATAGGTGGGTTTAGAAACTCTTAGTTTTGTTATTGGTTAAATATGCAAGTCTTTTCTTCAAACACTCAGCAGAAAGGAATGTCTGAGTTTAACTTAGACCTGGGTAAGAAGGCCTTGTTACTTTTTAAGGTGATGCTATGTCAGGATCAGGACATAAAGGGTTACCTACAACCACTAGACCAAAGTGACCTGTTACGGCAGGGTTAATATTTACAGACATGGCTCTCCAGGCCCCTTGGAAAGTACCTTAGAACAGGATCTGTCCTCAGGAGCTGTACTGATATCGCCACGACCTTGATTGCTGCCTCAGACCTGTGACAGGCTGGGCCTAAGGGCTGGTATAAAATGCCTTCAGGTCCTCCAAAGTTTTCACCCTCCTCCAGAACTTCTCAAAGTCTATTTGAAAAACCTTTGGGGCCTTCTATAGGATAACTAAGCAACACATGTTTATTAAATTCCGATTACTTGTAGGAAGCATAAATGTGAGCTATAAGAACAAGGAAGTTTAAGAACGACCCTTCCTCTGTGGTTTCAATGTACCTAGAAAGATAAGGCCAGTCTCTATTTGTATTTGAACGTGAATTAGATCCGACAGCTGTGCTGCGTGGGTGACTCATGAGCTGGGTGATCTCAGTAAGAGTGGTAGGATGGAAGGCTCCACTAAAGGGGAGATTTGATCTGGCTCCTCAAGGGTGAGAAGGCTTCAGACCAGAGGTCTTAACCCTGGTAAAGGGATTGATTCACTTGGAGAGGACGAAGATGACATGCCAGGACCTGCTCCCACTTTCCCCCATCCCCTATAATCTGGCCTACTAGTTATGGGCAGGGCCCAGGGCTGTGTTGGTGAAGAGCCCAGGTGATTCTGATGTGTAGTCAGCCTTGGGACCCTCTCACGAAGAAAGCTGGAAATGTCAGTCCTAATGTGGACTGGCAGTTTCCTTCTCTAATGGCTGCCCGAGGATGGGTGAGAAAGCAAACAGTGTGTCAATTCAGGAGCACGTATCCGCAAGTGCCAGCTGCTGTGTTGTGGGATGGGCGGCCACTCTGAGTAATGCCTGAGGAACGTGATTGCTCCCCTTGGTTGAGCTCCTGATATCTGTTCTGCAGACACTTCCTGGTTATTGCTGGTTTTTACAACAGCCTTGTGAGCTAGGTTTAGTATTTTTTTATTTTAAGAGAGGTTTTTGCTATAGGACACGTGTGCTCACCAGAAAGACAGAGAGAGATAGAAAGTGAGAAATCACCCCCCCCAGGGGGGATGGTCACACCACAATCCCTTCTCCATTCTCCTCTCAGGATCTTGGGCATGCATGGCACACGTGCCTGGAGTGAGTTTAAGCCACCGGGTCTGGGACACGAACCACGGTTGACTACATGGGAGTCCAGCGATATAGCCATTACGCTGACTGCTGGTCCCAGCTAGGTTTAGTATTTAAACCAGGTTTGTATTTTCAAGTTAGGGCATGGTGAGGGGCTATGGCTTTCAGTAACTTGTTTTAGAGCCACCCTGGCTCTCAGTCCCCCTCAGTCCAGGTGTGTCAGATACAGAGAAGTTTCCTCCCATCATATTTCATCATTTACCATGGACTCCAAGCATGGATCTCATAACAGCACAACAGGGAGTAGGCGAAGAGCGACAGGAGCACTAAGGGGCTCGTGGAGGCACTGCAAGAGGGGGCCCCTCCGTGGCAGCTAATCATGCTCCACACAGTGATGCCAAGGGGCTGTGACATAGGGAGAGGGCAGAGCTTTGCGGTGACATGCAGCAGAGGTTACTTCCGGCTAATTTCTCTGAGTTGCATCTTTGAAATAGGCTAATGCAGGCTGGGAAGGGCTGCTGGGAAGAACCTAAGTGGTGGTGGTGCTCAGTAGACATCGTGGTTATAACTGTTTTCTTTGAACCGACTCCAGGCCCCACTACACGTGTTGTGGTTTATTGCACTGTCTCTGGTATGTGTCCCTTCCTTCCCCTTCTTAGACCTTTTATACATAGAATCTGGATCATAGCAGTAGCCCTTTAACTTTTTCTTGGTATGCCTAATTCAAATTACATGTTGTTTTCCCCTTCAGTTTCAACTTACTTCTTGTGTTTTAAAATGTTCCACAGGTGTTGGGTGTATACCTGTTTAAGTCCAGACTGGCCTGGCAGCAACGAAAACCCCCTTGAGTATGCCCCACCCTCTCACCGTTCCGAATCTTCACTTTCATTACCTGCCTCTGAAACCCACATTGCAGTCATCAGCCCAACATGTTGGCCCGTTCTATGAAAGTCCTGCCTGTCCTCTGCACTTCAGAGCCCCAAGGCATGCTCTTGATAACTTCGTGAGCTTCCATTTTGCTCTGAATGTATGTTTTCGTCAACTTGGTTCAGAAATGCCCCCATTTCTGTATCGTTGGCTCTAGTAGTATTCAGAAATGTTTGTTGACATCAAATGATGGAAGTCTCTCTTTGCTTTCTAGGCTAACAAGGAAGGCCCCTGGAGTGCCTGTAATAAGAATCTGTTTGGAAAGTGTAAGCTGTGGATGGTCATCACCTCCATTTTCCTAGGTCTCATTCTAGTGATCGTCATAAGCTTAAGTCTCATTGGAGGTAAGAGGATTAAAGTGTGACTAAGTTGACATATCTTAAGTTGTTTAATGCGTCTGACTTACAATGAAATAAAAGGTGTATTCATTACTATTTCATTATTTTTTTTTTAACTTTTTCTTTTTTGAGAGGTTTTTGCTATAGGGTGTGTGCACTGGCCAGAAAGACATAGAGAGAGAGAGAGAGAGAGACAGAAAATGAGAAATCAACCCCCAGGTGGGATGGCCACGCTGCTATCCCTTCTCCTCCATTCTCCTCTCAGGATCTTGGGCACATATGTACACGCGCCCAACATGAATTTAAGCCGCCAGGTCTGGGACTCGAACCACGGTGGCTACGTGGGAGTCCAGCGACATAGCCATTACACTAACTGCTGCTCCCTTTACTATTTCATTATTTACAATGTGAATTTAAAATTGGTTTGGAATATATTATATGGGTGAGAGATAATACACAATTTTACTTCTCTCGTTTTTTTTTTTTTTTTTTTTTTTTTTTTTTTTTTTTTTTTTTTTTAAAACCCCCCA